ACGCTCTAGAATTAGATCCTTATCTTCTAAAATATTTCCTTTCTTCAGAGCTTACCAAGGATGAAAGCAATCCTGTCTAATGAGTACAGGGTCAGTTGTTTCCAAGCCACAGTTGAGAGGTAAAAGTGGGTAGAAATTCTAAGAGAAAAGACAACTTTTTCTTTTCTTCCCTTGTGACTGTTCAGTTTTGAGATACACTTCACGTGGAAGATGCTGTACAGAGGGGGTGTAACGTTTCTCCTCATTTAACATTAACAAAAAAATCCCGATTTTGACACATATTCTTCTGGCTTTTTATTCTTACTGTTTCACATTCAGTATGGTGTTTTCTAGGACATTCTTTCATGATTTCCTATGTGTTCTTCTTGTTTTATTGCTGGTTTCTCTCCAGTCTCCCCCCAGGTGTTTTCAGTACACAGGTACCACAATACTATGGTTTTGCCATTTTGACCTTCTGCACGTTTCTGTAATTTTCCCGTTTGTCTTTTTCTGGCTCAGATCTCTCACTCTGAGCTCTGGAATGATAAGTCTTGGCCCATTAATCCCAAGAGCCCACAGTGATCAAATAAAATCTCAGCTCCCCCTTGTGTTCCTCTCCCATTAGTCAGCTCACTCTTGTCTTAGTTTCTCTGATGGAAAAAAAGAGGCTTGGAGAAGCCAGCTTTTTCCATGAGCGCAGCAGGTGATTCCCAGAACTGAGAGGTGAGTGCAGGCATTTGCCCCAGTCCTGCTCTGTCAATACGGTGCGTTTCCTATCTGCGCCCATCGTTACCCGTGTCTCTGTCTTCGACATAGTCGGACTCGGTTCTGTCTGTCATCTCCGCGCAGCGCACCTGGCCATCCCACTGATCCAGAACGGCCCCAGCTCCAGTATTACGCACCGAACAGTCTTTGTGTCCATCCTCATGCTTTTGTCCAGGCTGACATCAGTGGGCTCGGTCACTTCAACTCCTCCAGTTGTCCCTCAGCAGCTGCAGGGCCCTTGGCGACGTTCCTCAGCGCGCGCATTTTCCCGCGTCCGAGCATCGCCACTGACCGTAGCGTTACTAATGGCGCACTGTCCCTCTCCTGGCAGATCTTCATCCGCAGCACAGACTGTGATCGGACGCTGATGAGTGCAGAGGCCAATCTGGCAGGCCTGTATCCCCCAGAAGGACAGCAGATGTTCAACCCTAACATTTCCTGGCAGCCTATCCCTGTGCACACAGTGCCTGAGGCCGAGGAAAAGGTAAGTTCCATCTCCAGGATATGTACTGACCACTCAAATACCGTGTTACACTGACTGTTCCACAGGGTTTGCTTCAGTCTCGGTTCAGTCTTGAACTTCCCCTGGGACCTACTTTGCAAAGGCTCTTCCGTTCTCAGAACAAGACGGGGAATCAGGGGTCGCATTGGCGGCAGCAGCTCGGCAGACCGCGCGCGGTCTGGAGCACGTTAGAGGAGGCAGCACTTGAGGCTGTTGGCAGATGCACCCCCCCCTGCAGTCGGGGTTTCGTTAATGCTCGCGCATGCTGACTGCACACTGCAGGGTTCGTGGTGACCGAGCTGCTCTCCTTGTCTCTGCCCAGCTACTGAAGTTTCCTTTGACCCCCTGCCCACGGTACGAACAGCTACAGAACGAAACACGGCACTCGGCAGAATACGTAAATAAGACCAAAGAAAACTGGGTAAGCGATTGTTTGGGTGAGACAAGGTGGGCTTAGGTTTGCAGTTAAAGTGTTATCACCTCTGCGTATCCAGGGCTCAGGGAAAAGGGTAGGAATACCTGGGCCTGCAAGACAGCGCGAGACTGGAAAACTGAAGGCCTTTCTCTCTTCTCACACCTGCAGCAATTCCTGCGAATGGTGGCGAATGAGACTGGGATCCGGGATGTCTCTCTCGAGTGCGTTTGGAGTGTGTACGACACGCTGTTCTGTGAAGTAAGTTTGGCCGCCGTCTTACAGCTGCGGGAATTTGGTCTTTAGGACCCAGTGGATTTGGTAGAAAATTCTTTTGCAAAATCCCATAAAACAACTTTCCACTGTTCCCACCCTGCAGTTAGAAGTAATGTGCCAAGGCACGTGCCATGAACTACCGACTTGTGCAGCCTTAACTTCCCACTCTTTAGCTTAGATACACATCCTGCCAGAGCCAGAAAAAGTCCCACCTGCGCCATCCGTGTCTCGTGTGGAAGTCACTGGGAAACAACCGCAGTCTGAAATCTGTACATCTCTCGGGATGAGTCTGCGCTGGGTAGGGCAGGAATGAGATCCCTGAAGGAGCGTTAGCTTTGTGATTTAAGTTGGGAGCTTAAGTTAGGACTGTTCCTGGTTCTACCCCTGTTACCTGAGGTCAGTCACTCTTCTTTCTGTGCTTCTGCTGATGCCACCTCTAACAGAAAATAATGCCCTTCTTGGCTAAGTGGGGTTCACCCCCATCTGGTCTGTGACCTGCTGTGAGGTCCTTTGCCAGAGGAAGACTCTGGAGACACGCTTTCCTTTTACTCTCTGGGGCGGGGCAACAAGCTCTGCGTTCACATGGGGTTTCGTTGAAAGTGCCTCTCACGAAGGCTTAAACGAAGCCGAAATCGGATCAGCAGTGCCGTGACAAAGGACGTGCCGCGTGTCCAGGAGACTTAGAGCTGTTGCACACAGGCGTATTTGTGTGTCACCATACAGTGTGACGCCCATCACGGAGACCTTTCCCATCAAGCGAGCTCGTTGCGGAAGAAGCGGTAAACCCACGTGTTTTGAGACAGTGTCATGCCGTTCTGTGGAGGCGCAAGGCGACTGAGCTTGCTGGCAGCGGTGTAGAGTGGTGTGTGCTATTTTGGGGATGTGAAAGATAAATCTGCATGGAATTGCACTTTGCTGTGTGAAGTAGCAGCCCGAGTTGCTGCAAGCTGAGAATATTCCAGCCCAGAGCTGCATTGCACTGTGTAAATTTGCCCTTTGTACCACAAACCTGATCTCCTGTCTTGTGCCAGTCACCATGAAACGACTTCTGTTGGTAACGAAAAAATCCTCTGGTCGGAGAGATCAAGAATTTCAAATCTTCTTCATTTTCCAGACTCACCTGGGGTGCTTCCCAGCTGGGGCCGGAAGGCCGGCTGACATCCCCAGGAGCTTGTCCCAAAATGAAACCAGGGGAATTCTGCTCTCAAAACCATACCCTCAGGCTGATCAGTCTCTTCAGCTGCTTTGGGCTGCCTCCTGCTCTCCCACTCTTACAAGCAGTGCCCTGCAGAAAAGGGTTGTTTCTCTCCCCTGGGCCAGCGGATGCCTTCTACCGCCTGGATGGAGGAAATAAAAAAAGCCAAGAAATAGCTGAACTCCCCCGCTGTTCTCTTTGTAAATTAGTGAAAAACTAACTAAACAGCTCAGTGGCTGATGGGAATTTCTCTGAACTGCTCAGACAGAATGGGCCCTTAAGGACACTCGGCCTCATCTTCTGGCAGCGTAATGGCATGTGGCATAGCAAATTGTTCCAAGGAAAGCCAGGGAACCACAACCGCCGTTCGCCTGCCAGTGTAACTAATCCTTTCTTCTAATGGGTTGGCTGCAAAGCAAATTCTTCTCGTGGTTCCCAGTTCTGTGTGTTCTGGGTCTGAGGACTGGGCTTTGTCAGCAGTGCGTCCCAGTACGGCATCTGCAGAGCGCTCGCTAACTTCCTGCAGTACCCTTCAGTGGCCCTCGGGGCCTCCAGGGAGACTGGGCTGCAGGTGCACCGGAAACCTTTGAGTCCATGCTCTCTCGCTTCTCTTTTTCCTCTGCCTGCGTGCCATCTGCAGGGCAGCACCAGCCACACGAGAAGGAAGTGCCCTCAGATTGTTGCATCGGTGTTAATGACATAACCCTGCCCACCAGCTGTGCCTCCACAGAAACGTACCTCCTGGATTTTAATCTTGATGCTGCTTAGTTTCTGACATGACGTTAAAACCCGCAGCTACGTTCCTGGTACGCGGCACAGCAGCGCGAGGACGGAAGCGTGAATAGGAAAGGGGCACGTTTAAAGTAATAGTGGAAGTCAGTAGCAGCGTGGGCAGGACCCAGCCACCCCGACTCCCATTCCCTGGCTAACCTGCGATCCATGCTACCGGCAGATGAGTCTTCTCTCTCTCTTCCCCTAGCAAGCACACAAAATGGATTTACCTGTGTGGGTGACACCAGATGTCATGAGCCACTTGAAGGAACTTAAAGACTTTGGTTTTGAATTTCTGTTTGGGATCCACAGTCGGGTGGAGAAAGCTCGTCTGCAAGGCGGTGAGTGCACCGGGGAGGGAGCTCCGCACGGCTTGGGCTAGTTTTTGCCTCTTACGTGCTCTTCCCTTTCCTCAGGGGTCCTGCTGGATCACATAAGGAAGAACCTAACCAAAGCAGCCAACCTTTCTGCCCACCAGAACCTGAAACTAATTGCCTACTCAGCAGTAAGTCAGAGCTCTGGGGCTAGCTCTACCCACCTCCTCCTCCTCGCAGGGCCTTGGTTCACCCTTTCTGGCGTCTCTACAGCCCATGCAGTCATCAGGACACGCGTCTTTGCCTCCAGCTGGGTGGGATGTGCAGGATCTGGCATCATTCTTCTGGGGCCCCTGAGGAAAATTCCCAACCCGCACTTTGTTCCCGTTAGCTCAGGCTTGCGGATGAGCGCGGCAGACTTTGGGGAGCCACCGCTGTATTTATTTGGTGGTGTTCAGTTCAGCAGTGCAGATACAGAGCCATTCCCCTCACCTTCCAGCCATCTCCCGACTGGGAAGTGAAGCATCTCTCCCAGATCGCTCCCTAGAGATTAACCCTTAAAGAACAATGCAGGATATACACAGCTGCATTTCACTTCCTCCCCTTCCCTGGCACAGATCTCCGTCCTAGCAGTGCAGTTCCTCTCTTCCAGAGGGACTTCAGCAGTGCAGATACAGAGCCATTCCCCTCACCTTCCAGCCATCTCCCGACTGGGAAGTGAAGCATCTCTCCCAGATCGCTCCCTAGAGATTAACCCTTAAAGAACAATGCAGGATATACACAGCTGCATTTCACTTCCTCCCCTTCCCTGGCACAGATCTCCGTCCTAGCAGTGCAGTTCCTCTCTTCCAGAGGGACGTTACCAAGGTGGCATCCCCTCAGCGCTGCCCTGCCGGCCGCTGGTGTGGCCTGAGCTGCCCTGCCGCGTCCATAGGGGTGACTGGTTTTTCTCCCTCTTTCTCAGCACGATACGACGCTTGTGGCACTGCAGATGGCTCTAGACGTCTACAACAAGATTCAAGCGCCGTACGCCTCCTGTCATTTATTTGAGCTCTACCAAGAGGACGATGGGTGAGGGCTGCAGTAAAGACCTCTGCTGGGGTTTCACCTCCGGGGTTAGGTACCTAGGCTAGGCTCCACCCAGGGGGATACAGTCCTGCTCCTAGTGAGAGACTCTTACTACAGTCCAGGAGGAAAACTAGCCCTGAAATAAAGGAAAATGTGCACACTGAGTTTTTGGGAAGGGGTGACTTTAGCTGAAGAAAAACACCCAAACACCTAGCTGTGTTTTGTTTTCAGTAACTTCTCTGTGGAGATGTTTTTCCGGAACGAGACTGGGAAGGAACCGTTCCCACTGACAATCCCTGGCTGTCAGCATAAATGCCCATTGCAAAGATTCTTGGAACTCACAGATCCTGTTGTTCCCCAGGACTGGGAGCAAGAATGCCAGGTAGCAAGCCCCACGCACGACACAGGTGAGCTCAGGCTGGACCAGAGCGCGGCTGAAGGGGAAGGCTCGGACAATACCACGCTAACCACTTGTTTTCTCCCTTGCAGAGCTGTTTGTGGGCCTGGCCGTGTGTGGATCCATTCTCCTACTCCTTATAATCCTCCTCTTGACTGTACTCTTCCGCATACAGTCTCAGCCCCCTGGCTACCGGCATGTTTCCAATGAGGGAGAAGAACAGGCCTGACAGCTGCTTCAACTCCTCCCCAGGCAGTAGGAGGCAGCGGCGTTTCCCCTAAGGATGACTGTGCCCCTTCCGTTACTGAGCATTCTTCTGCTTTGGCCGTTGCTTCCCAGAATGAAGCTGGACTTGATTTTTGGATGCTTTGTAAAGGTGACATCCCAGAGAGAGAGGACTGAGCTACCCAATGACACCTTGATTCTGAAGCCAGGA